GTGTAATTCTGTTATTTCTTTTTTTTTAAAGTACTTCTCATTCTAAATTCTCATTGTACTTTTGTGTTTTCTTGTTTAGATTTATTTATGATTCTTGATGGATGAATGGTTAAAATCAAAACTGTTTTCTTTTAGAATTCTCATTATTAATTTCCAGAACATTGAAGCATTGCTGATTAAAATACACTTGTGATATTTACTCAGTTCTAGATGCTATCAGGGCCTGTTCGTTGAAGTATTGAAGGATTCTGGGACAAAATGAATCTGCTAGCCTACTGGGACTCTTATATTTAAGGATATTCCTGGGTGGAGTTATATCACAAAGTCCTTCTGAATTTAAACCTGAGGGCTTGGATCTGAACTGTCATCTCTTCCTTAATTGTAGTCAGGTAGCTATTCTAAAATTTGAAATACAGAGTTTTTCAACAAATTTGTTTGAATAACTAATATTAAACTGGGAATTCCAGAGCAAAGATAGTCTTATTTTATTGTATTCCTTAAATCATATGACACAAGGACCACAAAGGACAATGTATGTTTTTAACTAGGTGTTAGGAAATACAGGGATGGTATCTTCTAAAATTAAAAAGTAAGAGAAATAAATACTGTATGGCTTTATTCTGTGGCAGTACTGTATAATAGAAATATGTATGAACCAAATACATCATTTCATATTTTCCAGTGCTTCATTAAAATAATTGAAATAGATGAAAATAATTTAAGCAGTATCTTTGACTTAACCCATTTTATTATTTCAACATCTTAGCAGTATACAAAGTTAATGAAATTTTTTGCTTTTTTGGGTACTAAATCTTCAAAATTCAGTGTGTATTTTTTTTTTTTAAGATTTTATTTATTTATTTTGAAAGAGCGAGCAGGCACAAGCGAGGGGGAGGGGCAGAGGGAGAGGGAGAAGCAGACTCCCCGCAGAGCAGGGAGTTGATCCCAGGACCCAGGGATCATGACCTGAGCCCAAGGCAGACGCTTAACCTACAAGCCACCCAGGTACCCTCAGTGTGTATTTTATACTTAAAATTCTTTACAATTTGTAATAGCCACATTTCAAGTGCTCACTAACTATATGTGTCCAATGCCTAAAATGTATTGGACAGTGTAAAATTAACTCATTAGGGTAATTCTACTTAAGCATTCTCAGTTCAGATGCTAAACGTTTCATCTTTATTTAGATTTCACAAAATTTGCAATTGGAGAGGTAGATTCACATACCAAGCTGTTCAGGTATACTTAAAAGTTTTTCAGTAGTGAAATTGAGTATCAGGTATTCAATTGAAAATTAAAGTGGAAGGGGCTTGGTCTTACTGTTACAGTAAAAAGACATTACTTTTTTTTTTTAATTAAATGGTTATTAAGGAAATAAAATAAAAACCACAGTGAGTTACTACCTCATACTAGGATGATTTTAATAAAATAAACTGAAAATAACAAGTGTTGGCAAGGATGTGGAGCTAGCTGATGGTTATACAACATTGTGAATGCACTAAAGACCACTGAATTGTACACTTTAAAATGGTATGTTCTATGAATTTACCTCAATTAATAAAAATTAATTTAAATAAAATTAAAGTTTTGTTTCTTGGTTAGAGTATTCTTAAAGTTTTAAGTAGCAACATTTGCCTAGTGGATTTTGTAGTAGACAGTGTTCTATTGGTAATCTATAGGAGATGGAAATTTTTTTTTTTTTTTAAAGATTTTATTTATTTATTTGACAGAGAGAGACATAGCGAGAGCAGGAACACAAGCAGGGGGAGTGGGAGAGGGAGA